TTCAAGTCCTGTACCCTAAGTATGTCCTGTCTTCAACAGTACGGTCTTATCTACTAGTTCTTGGAGATAACCAAAAGGTTTGGCAATAGCCTCTTTTATTTTGGGAGTCTCCTGGACCACCTTCACCAACACTCAAAGGGAGATCTCTTCTGTCTGCACTGTGTTCCTTGCCAAGCAGCTCCCAGGTATATACATACATTAATTTTCAGATGTTGCATGTGATTTTCTTATGGGGTTTTGAGGGCATCACTTTTCCCTCTAAGTTTTCTAGCCCCCCAAGATTTATTCATCTCTACTCTTTTTTCTCTCATCTAGCCTCCCTCCCTAGTCACAGTGTACCCATTATCCCCACCTTCCCCCCAATACCATTGAGTTCCCACCATCCTCCCTCTCCTGACAGCCCCCTACCCCCACACCATGGACCCTTGCATGTTTAATTAAATCTTGAAAATATAGAGAACAAAGTACAAAAGTACTTAAATAAAATTTTTTAAAAAGCTAAATGTTTTAAATTTATTTATTTATTTATTTATTTATTTATTTAATTACATGTATGAGGGTTTTGCTTGCGTTGATATAACTGTACTAGTGTTGTGCAATGTCCATAGAGGCCAGAAAAGTGCATTAGATGCCCTGGAATTGGAGTTACAGAAGGTTGTTAGCTGCCGTGTGGGTGCTGCAAACTGAATCCAGGTTCTCAGGAACGCAACCAGTGCTCTTAACTGCTGAACCATCTTTCCAGCGTCCAAAGTGTCTTTTCTTTAAAAGAAAAGAAAAATAAAAGCCAGAAAAGATCTGTAAAAAATTCAGACATGCTGACACCATTGCCATAGAATCATATGAGCAGGATCCCAGGAGCTTGCATGACTCTCTTTCCATATGGTCATGCACCTCCTCCCTGGCTCTTACAATCTTTCTGCCCCCTCTTCCCAAAATGGTTCCTGAGTACTGGGTGAGTGATGTTTAATATAGGAGTCCTGTCCAAGACCCATCATTCTGCAGACTCTAAATCTTTATGCTTTGGCCATTTGTGACCTTTTGTGTTCCTGGCCCTGTGTTGCATGGGGGACTTCATTAATGAGAATTGAGAGATTCATTAGTGTCCTCTATTTTACCCCTGTTCTATGTTCCCATGCAAACTCAGGCAGACAAAAACTCAGCATAGAACTGGGGAAATGAACTACAAACCCCTATCTTAGCTGAAGAAATATTGGCAACCGGTTATTGCTAGGTGAGGAAGAGCTGATCTTCCTAAATAAGGGACTCTAGATAGGCTGTCTAGACCAAGTAGATGGCCTTGCACTGGGGAACGTCTGGGGACACTGACTTGACACAGTGGGCCATAACGTGGATGACAGTTTATTGGTTCCAATGGGGGGGTTAGTGGAGGGCTATATACAGGGGTACAAAGATGATTAAGGTTGTTTGAGATTTTCTGTATGAAATACACAAAAATTCAATAAAAACAAATTAAAAAAATTCAGAAATGAACATCTTTGACTCTGACTATTCTAACTCTATAGTTTACTTATTACTGAGACTAAATACTACATTTGTGTGGTTTTAGATATATTTGAATTCTTGTTTCTCTTTTTACTATAGTTATTTTAGTCTTTTACTACTTTTTATATATTAATAAAATTTCTTAGATTTCTTGGGCAGTTTCTGAAGTTTTCTTGTTCCCTTCCATCCAATGGCTGCCTAGTTAGCAACTGTGTTTAGTCACCCACATGAAACCCTCTCTCTTTCTTTTCACTTCCATTACTACTATAATGGAAACTCATATTAAAAATATTGCTCTGGTAGCTTCTTGGGTGATTTCCTGATTTCAAGCTTACTTTGCTGCATCCAATTTACCTACCATTGTGGTAGTAAATGTCCTACAGCACAGAGGTGGTCATGTATCCTGCTGCATCAAAAAGCAGAGAAAAGTAAAAGGACGGAGAACAAACGTTTTAATGTTTCACTACTTCGCACTGTTTATAAAAAAAAAATGTTTCTGAAGTTTGGCATTCAAGGAGGTTCACATCTAATCCTAAATCATGGGGGATATTAAAATGTCTGCTTACATCTTAGTGACTTATTTTTTTTAATACAATTGACCAGCCCCTTTGAAAACATCTGTTTCAATTTCTTTGCATGATTTCCTTGACCTCTGTTTCCCTTATTTACCCACACAAACTGTTTATACTTCTCATTTGTTCTTTTCTATGTGTTTAAAATTATCTTCCTTAAATTGATTGTAGTTTTTCAGAGATGCAGACATTCTTTAGCTTCAAATACTTGTATGCAGTAATCTGTCCTTTGTAGGTAAATATTTCTTTATGAACTTCTAAAATACTAATTTATCATAGGTCATGTGATATTGTAAATATTTAAAACATACAATGTAACTCAAGCACCAAAATATTATTAAGATGTCCTATTAATGCATAATTTCCAAAAAGAAAAATGGGATACAAAAATCTATCCCTGATAAGGACATTTCAGAATCTGTGTTTATAATTATGATCTCATACCTGCTCATGAATTATGCCAGCTTTTAAACAATCAAGGTATTTATGTATTGATTTTCAAGTTGGTAAAACTTACATGAAGGGATGGAAATGGTTGTCTCTCTCCATGGATAAGCACCTGAGCTTTGAATGGTGTAGGAAGGAAGCTAAGCATAAAGGAATCCAGCTGAAATGCAAACTTACACAAGCTTGTTTCTTCCATATTTGTTTTAAAATATCTTTGTGTGAAAAAAAAGTCCTTTTTCTCTCTTCCTCCATCCTGACTCTGTTCTCTGAGGTTCACTTGCCTCATAAATAAATGCATTAAAAATTCTTGGGGAAAAATCCTTTTCTCAAGAACTGAAAACCAGTTACGAAGAAAAATGAACCCTTTATTCTGGCACATTAACACTGTTAACATGCAATCTTCCATGTCTGAAGCCCCAAAGAAGGAAGGGACTAAAACAGAAAGGGAAAGGGTTTGCAACTTACTATCCTCGAAGACCTAGGAGACCTAAGTTCAATACTGGTTTTTATGGGGGAGTAAACCAATGGAGAACTCTTCCCTGGTATGGTCTTTTGCACCCAATCAGATATTTTCAAAATATTCTTTGTCCAAGCTTCCTATCATTTCATTTTAATGACACAAATGTTCTAATGTAACATGCCATTTTAAAACATCATGAGTAAAAGAAAATGTGAAGATCTGTGCTAAAAGGCATTTGAGGTGATAGCTGAGCAGTGCTGTAGCCTCAGGAGTAAAGCAGCTGTTAGGAGCTGTATCTTCTCACATAACAACATGAAGGAGATGTGAAGGCCCAAGGAACCTGGAAGCCCATGGAAGACATCTTAAAGGGCAGCTGATTCAATGTCATGAAGGTTTCTGAAATGAAACATCTTACACAAGCATTTTCACGCAGAAAAAATAAATCAGCTTGTTTGCGAAAAGCACAATTCTTCCCTACTTAACATTTTTATTTCTATTATGCTCCCAAATTTAATTTTGGTAGATGTTTTTAAAAGCATTTTTTGTTTAGAACTCCACAATCAGAGCAGAGGGATCTGCGTTTGTTTTCATATTATTTTAGTGTCATGATCTAACCCAGCTGTACTTGGGTCAGAAGGGCGGCCATCACTTCATACTGAGCAGCGTCAACCTCACAATTTCAGTAAAAGTTACTGGCAATCGCAAATTCTTCTTTCCCCCATTGTTCTAACTCATTTACAAATATTACATTGTTGAAATCATACCCAAACACAATAGGACAAGCAATCTAATTTTCCTGATTATAGTATGGATTCTCAGGTACAAAAGTTCAGTAGCAATAGTTGGCAGAATGTCTAATTATTGTTGCTTGCACATTGAATTATTTTATTTGTTTCATCTCTGTTCTAAATGCTACGATCAAAACAATCATTTGAGCATTTTTCAGACATCTGGGAGATATATGAAGGTTTCATGGTATCGATCAAGTAATTGAAGTTACACAGGTCTAATCCGTTAGACGCCTTACACATCTGCATTGTCCCTTGAGGAACTATCTCCCACTGCTGTTTATTCACAACAAGCTCTCCTGTGACTCACATCTGCTGCCAACATCCTCTTTTTGTGCTTTCTGTGTGACATCCGATGCAGCTAATTGTTGCCTCCTGCAATGTAACGCTTTTAGGGAAGACATCTTTGGGCTGATCATGATCTCCTGCTGGTGGCAGTGCTTCCACTGCCCGTTTTCTTACGGTCTTACAATCAAACATAGACATAACAGTTACTTTACTCCTCTTGTTTTCATAAGTCAGCACAGTCATTTCTCCTATTAGAGGCCAAGGGCATGGGAAGCATAGCTTTTTAAGTCAGTTTGTTGCATCATATAGTTCCATAGGGGCTCAATATTCATAGATAAAAACCTTGAGCTCATGCCTTCGATTCTTTAAGAACCAGTAACCATTGTCCTATGCCTCTGTACTGAAAAAAAAAAACACCAGAACCAAAAAACAAAAGAAAAACTACACCTCAGGAACAGCTTAAGTCTTATTTATAATAAAAATATATTTCACAAATGGTTGAATGTGCTTGCTACTTTAAAAACTATAATGACATACTCAAAATGCATAGATAATATACTGGATGCTATTCATTAGTATTTTTTTCACATTCTTATATATTTGACCATTAGGAAAGGCATTGATTCTTCTATGACGAAGGTGATATTTCTGCTTAAGAATTGTGTCAGAGCATGAGACCAAGTTACAGCAGGTTGCAACTTCAGAGGCTTAACTTCTAATTGAAATTGCACAGTAAATATATGTTGACAATGTGAAACTCATAGTAAGAGAGGATAATGAAACTCACAGATACATCCATGGGGAATACAGAACTGCATAGCTTAGTCAGATTTCTATTTACATATATGTGTGTATGTAATGAGAAAAAAATTAAAAATTTATACCTTTATAATTCCATAAAAAAACCTCACTATCCCAAACGAACTTTAAAAATAAATTTTCAAAATGATACTTTCAGGAATTTGTTGTTGTTGTTACTGAGGAGGTTTGTCCAATGTGTAGAGTACCAGGATCCATGAGGAGGACATGTATGCCCTCCGGAGAGTGAAGCTGCCTCTTGGTATTGTCTGGACTCAGCTGTCTTTTGGCATTGATAACCATTCTTCTGTACCCACATGAAGGTAGGAGTGAAAAAAATTTAAATGAGATTTTTTATTAATTCTTTGAGAATTTCATACAGTGTATTTTAATTATATATGTCCTCCTGACTTCCATGTCCATCTTACTACCCAGGCCTGGATTCATGTTCTCTATTATTTTTTAAAGCCTGTCACATTTCATTTGTGTTCCTCAAATACTCTTGGGTATGGGTCCATCCCCTGGAGTATGGTTCACCTAACCAGCATCACACTCTCAATGAAAAGTAACTCTCCCTCTCCCAGCAGCTATCAGTTGCCAATAGTTCCTTAGCTAGGGGTGAGGCTTTTGGGCCACTGTCCATGCTGGGTTTTTGTTTGAGTTGGGCTTTGTACAGGTCTTGTGCATGTTGTTTCAAGCACTGTGAGTTCATATGTTCAACCCCCATTGTGTTCAGAAAACATGGTTTCTGTGTATTAATTCACCCTAGAGAGAAAATTCTTAATTTACCCATTATGTGCATTTGATTTTCCTATCTGATAGGGAATGTTGAAGTATTTGAATGACAGCTTCAATGTTTCCCAAACTTACGCCTACTGAAAATAAACAGTCACCTACAGAAGGAGGATGGTCATACTAGCGTGTTATATGGTTAGCTTCACTGGTGTAATGTACAGTGTTGTGATGAGAGAAAGACAGGGAAACCCCTTAGCTGACTAATCCTAATAACCACTGATACTCCTGCAAAAGTTTCCTACCTGACAGTTACCCCAGTGGAGGCTACACTTTTCATTCTAGAGACAAAGGAACTGGGAGCAACCAAGGTTGAGGAACACTGCTTAACAGTCCAGGAGGATCAAGGAGATTATTTTGCATGAAAGAAACAATTTCAGGAGTAAAACAGGAAAGAGTACTGAGGTGTCTTGTGGTTCTTTTAAAGGAAAAGAGAGACAGGATTCTGAGAAAGCAGAGAGGTATCTACAGGAACTAGGCATTGAAATATTGTTAAAGCGATTGCTGCTGAGAGGATCCAATCAAGATGAAATATCCAAGATGCCCAAACATCTGAATATTCCTATCACAGAATATAAGGGGCACTGTGTTTTCTACATAAGAGAAATGGCACCTCAGTCCCTCAGAGATCCCCACTGCTCTCAGTTATAGAAGCCCCATAGGACATGTTACATCTCACTCTTCTCATACTTCCAAAGTTCTCATGTATCACAGTAACATATCTAGTATAAAATTCGGTTCTTCAAACCAAGCAGATAGATGGGAAAAAAGCCTGTTTTCCTCAGATTTTCATCAAATAACGATATACCTGTAATTTATATTACACTTTTCATATGTCACAATCATAAGTATCAAATTGAACATGACAGTTTTATTTTAAACTCTGCTTAGATTCAAATAAGTTTTGAAAATCTTTCAATCATTTCTTTAGTAAAGGTAGCAATACCAAAATCTTTCTAAGGAGCTTATTCTTGGTGGAAGCCATATCTCTGGTCCACCCTGGACATATTGGACAGTATCATCAATATACTTTTAAGACAGTGTTATAAAAAATATAAAAGCAGGGACTGGAGAGATGGCTCAGCAGTTAAGAGCACTGGTTGCTATTGCAGAGGACCCAGGTTCAGTTCCCAGCACCCCATGGCAGCTAACAACCATCCTTAACTCCAGTTCTAGGGGATCCAATGCCCTCTTCTGACCTCTGCAGGCATTGCATGGCACAGGTGCACTTACATGCATGCAGGCAATACACTTATACACATAAAATAAATTAAAAATAATAAATTTTTATAAATCATGAAAGCAGAGAGAATTACCCCAGAGAAAGAGATTTTAACAGGATCTTGGCCAAGTAACTACTGAAAATAACCTTGAAGTATATTTTATAGATAGACATCATGAATTATCCCTTCATCCAAAACAGAAAACTAAACAGTAGTAGTTGGCATATTTGTATAAAATGTATATGGCTTCTAACACATAGAATGACAGTTCAGTTCTTATGAACCTATCTTGCTCATACGTGCTCAACAGTTAGTGGTGCATATACATAATGTAAACAATCAATTCATTCAAATAAATCTGTGTAGTGCATTATGGCTCTGTGAGCTAAAAGGAACAGGAAATGGTCTGCAGTCTGGTGGGGCAGAGTAGCATGCTAAAAATAATTTCAAATAATTCTAGACATGCCTAAGACAACGATGATCTCAGGTTGCACTGAGAAGGGTGCCAGATAGAATCCAGAGAACAAAGGCAGAATGAAATGAAAGAAACCTGCTTAAAAGAGAAGGCAAGAAAGGGATTCAGTTTAGTAGGTAAACTGGAAGCAAAACACAGAACTAAGTCCAAGGTTCGAATCTGTATAAAATCAAAATACTACAACCCTTATGAACAATTTTATCTCATTATAGGAATATAGGTTAGCTTTTTTCTTTTATTTAATGTCTATATTATTTCCCATATTTTTATTAGTTTAAGTTTATTAAATTTAGCCTTTTTTTCACCAACCAGGTACAAGATACAGAACAGCTTAAGCAATTATGTTTTGTTATTGGTGTTTTTCTTTGTGTATTTTGTTTTTGAGACAGGGCCTCTCCATGAAGTGCTGACTAGCCTGGGACTCACATGTAAACCAATCAGGTCTCCAGTTTGTAACTCTCTTCCCACATCTGCTTCTGAAATGTCAGAATTCATCCCAGGTATTAGTAAATTTTATAATTTTTTGTGTTTAGAAGGATATGCATGCTCATCGGATAGATAAATAAATATCATTATTTCTAGTCTCCTTGGCTTAAAGGTGTTGTAGATAAATTTTGAAAAAAATGATTACTTACTGAAAATTTGGGAAAATTTCAATGGAAATGAATTGTTTGCCTTATTAAGGTTCTGGAATTCAGAGTAATATATTTATAAAAAATTAAAAGGAATTAGCTGTCTTTTCCTTGTTAAATCTTTCCATTAGCAGAGTCAGGACGTAGGGCAGTTGTACATGATATCTGTGTGCTGCTTTATTGCTATATACTACATGTTAACATTGCTGATTATCATCAGTACTAGAAGGTATCAAGTTCTATAAGATTTCATAAGCCCTTTCATATAATTTCAATCTTACAAGCCTTATTTACTAAATAGTCAACATCATATTTACTTTTAGTTTTAGAGAACTATTGTTTATTTTAGACAATAGGTTTCCTTCCCTTGATACAGTTTAAAACTGTGACTTAGTAACAGTGAGATTATAGGCCAGTTGCATATTCTTACTAATTTTCACTTTATTTATTTTTTAATATTTTATTTATTAGTTTATGTATATACGTGTATTGCCTGCATGTAGGTAGGTGCACCCGTGTCATCCAATGCCAGCAGAAGTCAGAAGAGAGCATCAGATCCCCTGGAACTGGAGTTACAGATGGTTGTTAGCCGCTGTGTTGGTGCTGGGAATTGAACCTGGGTCCTCTGCAAGAGCAGCCAGTGCTCTTAACCACGGAACTATCTCTCCAGTCCCACTAATCTTCACTTAAAAAAAAACAAATAAAATTAAGTTTAAAAGCATTTTACAGGGGGTTGTTTCAATAATTATATAGCACTAAGAATATTGACATATTTGTGAAAAGAAATCAGAAAGTACAGAAAAAGACAGAGAAAAGATAGTCACTACTAACACTCATATCCCTCTACCAGGGTCACTTCACAAAGCAACTTTCCCAGATACCTAAGGCAGACTTTGTTAAATTTTATTGATATATTTATTTTTATATAATTTCTAAATTTTATTGAATTTTTGTGAATTTCATACAATATATTTTGATTATATTTAGACGCACATCCTATCTGCACTCCTTTTATATAGCCTCCCTTTCAGAACTCCATGTACTCTGTCATATATGTTAAGGCCTGTCGAGCCAAGTTTTTGTTCTGCAACTGTCCTTTGGTGTGTATTCATACACTGGAGGCTGGTTAACCATGAATGAACTCCTTCATAGACAGCTTATCCAATCCAAAGTGGTCAGCTAAATACATGTATATACAAGCAACACTAAAAGAAGTCAGTAGGTTTTATATACATATAGGTATGTATGTAGGCATGTGTATATATGTTACAATAGTAATTAAAGAAGAGATCATGAATTTGAAAGGGGGTGGGAAGGACACAGAAGGAGTTATGGGAGAAGGAAGAGTAGAAATAATGCAAATACAGTATGTGTGTACAATAGTCTCAAAGAATACATTTTAAATTTAAAAAAAAGATCTGTTTACTTAGTAATTTCAAGTCTTCAATGTGGTATAATCAACTATAGTTACCACATTGTTTATTAGATCTCAAGAAATTATCTATCTGGCATATCTGAAATTGTGCATCACTGGTATTTCCCTCTCCAAGCCCCTTGAAACCACCATCCACTCTTGTTATTATGAGAATGTTTTGTTTAGATTTCATGTGTGAGATCATGTGCATTTGTCCTGTTTTGTCTGGCTCACTTCCACTAAAACAAGTTCACCTTATATTGTCACAAATAATAGAATTTCCTTATATTTTAAGAATGAATGATATTGCATTATGTATATTAAAATAATTCAATATCTAATATGTATTTCATTTTATGCACCATTTATCTTTGATAAACACAGCTATTCCCAGATCTCATCAAGTGTTTAAAACGCTGCAATTAACCTCAGAATACAGAGCAAGTTCTCTTCAAAGTTGAGCATCCTATTGACCAGCAATTCTGTTTATAGGCACATAATCAAGAAATTATTTCAGGAGATGAAAAGATGACTAAGCAGTTAATAACATTTGCTGTTCTTGGAGAGGATGTGAATTCAGGTTCCCAGCAATGACAATACAAGGCTCACAACCAACTGTAACTCCATTTCCAGGGGATCCAACACCCTCCATGGGCACTTTCACATATATGGTGCATGCACATGCACACACACACACACACACACACACACAAATAGAATAAAATATTTAAAAATATTTAAATATAAGTTCAGTATACAGAAAGAATACAGATCTCAAGCAGAGAAGAAAGGAGTTTCAGATTCCTAATTTAT